CCCCTCTATCCAGGTTGGTTCAGGGGGAGACTTTCAAATGATATCTTACCAGAATTTCAAATGTGAAAACAAAAGTCCTTCTGCCCTCAGTGTTTCCCTCAATCTATCTAATAGGTTATGTTAATCTCAAAAATTCAGCCCAAAGAACAGTGCTTAGGACTTAGGTGATTCACCGCCATCCCCTTGCGTGCCTCTATTCCTCTTTCTCCTTATCCAATTCCTTTAAACCAGTGTTTTTAAACTGGAGACTATGACCTATTAGTGTGCTATGATATAAATTAATGAATCATTCTGAATGCTTAAATGGAATAGATAGAAAGTATGTATGCAACTCAAGCTATTGAAAATGACTTGTTTCATAAAACTTTTGTTTCCTCTGTGTGTGTGTGTGCACGTGCGCACAGGCACATCTATGTACTAGGTTGCAATGTAAAATGTATTACTAACTACGGAGTATGGTCAAAAACATTTGAAAAACACTATTCTAAATATAGCCAATGTTCCCTCTGCCCCTATAGATACATAAGAATATATTATCTAATCCACCAGAACTACCTCATGATATGCTAAAGAAAAATTTTTCCATTATGGTAAATACACCACAATAAAGATTTACTCTTTAACCATTTTAAAGCGTTCAATTCCATGGCATTAAGTTTATTCCCATTACTGTACAATCATACCACTATCCATTTCCAGAACGTTTTTAATCTTCCCAAAGTAAAACACAGCAGAAATTAAACAATAACTCTCAATTCCTCCCTCTCCCTGGCCCCAGGCAACCACCATTCTTTCAGTCTCTATGAACACGATGACTCTGGTATCTCAGATAAGTGGAATCACACAGTGTTTGTCTTTTTGTGATTGGATTATTTCATTTAGCAGATGTCCTCAAAGTTAATGCATACTGCAGTGTGTATCAGAATTTCCTCTTTTTAAGGCTGAATAATACTCCATTGTATGTCTATGCCACATTTCGTTTGTCCATGCTCATGAGTTAACACATTGAAATCATGCACAGGTAAACTTTGGAAAATATCTATTATTGTATTTAATGGCTCAAAGGACTAAAATTATTCCAGTTACATATTCTTAAAAGAACATGATGAAATTCAGAATTTGTTTCCCTTAGAAAAGATGTTAAGAAAGATATATTCTTCTATATTCTAAGTTCCTTTGATTAGCATCAAATTGTTTAAGTGAAGTTAATTTATGCCTCATCTTACCGAATTTATTTGTGGGTAAAGGCTGACTCAAAACGAGTGATGATTATTTGGAACTGGCTCTGACCGTGGTAAGTACACTCGTTTACAAACTCTCTTTCATTTAAAAATGATACTTTCACAGGACCATCCAGAGGAAGGCAGGGCCAGCATTTACCGGTCAGTCTTTACCAACTCTTCCAAAGAGATGACGTGTTTTCCAGACTTCCCATGTCCTGATGACTACCCCAACTTTATGCACAACAGCAAACTCCAGGAATATATCACTATGTTTGCCAAAGAAAAGAACCTCCTGAGATACATACAATTTAAGGTAAGATATTATCAAAAATTAGTTTGGGGCATAGCTGTGAGGAACTCTGTATTTATTACTAGATTCCCATTTATTCCTTTCAGTATCTCTTTCTTATTTGTCAACATTTTTAACAATGTGGCCTCTCTGACTCTAGGTTTAGAGAATACACAGTCTTCTTAAGAATATGTAGGAAATTTACAAAACTTAACCACATACAGTTCGTAGACCAAAATGCCATAAACTTAGAAGTCAATATCAAAGAGATAAATGTAAAATAGCCATGAACTTATAAATTAAAAACTATTTTTTTCCTAAACAACTTATGGGTCAAAAAGAAATTTCACTGTAAATTTAAAAATATTTGGAATGAAATGATATTTAAATTCTATATACCAATATTTGTGGGAAGCAATAAAATGGAAAGACAGCCTACGGACTGGGAGAAAATACTTGTAAACAATACAACTGACAAGGGTTTAATTTCCAAAATATACAAACCGTTTATAGAGCCCAATATCAAAAACACAAACAACCCAATCACAAAATGGGCAGAAGACCTAAACAGACATTTCTTGAAAGCAGATAGCCAGATGGCCAACAGGCACTTGAAAAGATGTTCAACATCACAAATCATTAGAGAAATGCAAATCAAAATTACAGTGAAGTATCACCCCACACCAGTCAGAATGCCCATCATCAAAATGTCTACAAATAAGAAATGCTGGAGAGGGTATAGAGAAAAGGAATCCCCCTACACTGTTGGTGGGATGTAAATTGATGTAGCTATTATGGAAGACTGTATGGAGATTCCTTAGAAAACTGAAAATAGACTTACCGTATGATCCAGCAATCTCAATCCTGAGCATTTATCTGGAAAAGACAAAAACTCTTAATTTGAAAAGATACATACACCCGAATGTTCATAGAAGCCCTATTTACAATAGCCAAGACTTGGAAGCAACCTGTGTTCATCAACAGATGATTGGATAAAGAAGTTGTGATTATATATACACAATGGAATATTACTAAGCCATAAAAAAGAATGAAACATTGCCATTTGTAGCAACATAGATAGACCTAGAGATTATCATGCCAAATGAAGTCAGACAGAGAAAGACAAATATATGATATCCCTTATAAATGGAATATAAAAAATGATGTGAATAAACTTATTTACAAAACAGAAACAGACACAGAAGACAAACGTATGGTTGCCAAAGAGAAAAGGGGGGAGGGACAAATTAAGACTTGGGGATTAACAGATAAACACTACTACATATAAAATAGATAAACAACAAGAACCTACTATATAGCACAGGGAACTACATTCAATATCTTGTAATAACCTATAATGGAAAACAATCTGAAAAACAATATGTGTGTGTGTATATATATATATATATATATATATATATATGTATATATATATACACATATACACGTATAACTGACCAACTTGCTGTACGTCTGAAACTAATACAACCTTGTAAATTAACTATATTTCAATAAAAATAATAAAATAAATATTTGTGGGAAGCAGTTAGAGCAAAACTCTCATGAAAATTGTACATTAAATGTTTTATATTAGGAAATAAGAAAGGTTTCTCAGGTAATCCTTACGCACACTAAATTTGGGAAGAACTTATACTCTGAATATAGACAATATCTTTCATTTTAAGACAAAAAACATTTAAAATGACTTAGGAAATACATTAGGAGATAGTTGTTACTATAAAAATGATTATTGTGGTAACTGCCTCTTGTAAACTATGATTCAGCTCACTGTCACATCGCTAAACGGAGTCACTCTTGTACTGCAGAAAATACTGGTTATGCACAAGAAACCATGTGGGGATGAAAACATATATACCATTTCATATTTTGATTTATTCTGAAGGACTTCTGAATTTGTAATACATACCTTAATAATGAATTAAGTATTTTTCCTAAGTCACTAATTAAGGATTTTTTTCATACTATTTGGGTAAGTTGGTGCTATATCTACCTGTTAGCATAGAAAAAAGAAGGCTATCTTTCTGTGTTTCTCTTAGACTACTGTATCCAGTGTAAACAAACGTCCTGATTTCTCAACCACCGGCCAATGGGATGTTACCACTGAAAAGGATGGTAAAACAGAATCAGCTATCTTTGATGCTGTACTGATTTGTTCTGGACACCATGTGTACCCCAACCTACCAAAAGAGTCCTTTCCAGGTAAGGCCAAAATTTAGGCTGCCATCTACACATGTGGAATGAATGAATAACCTTGATAATGTCTTTTTTATATCTATAAAAGTGCAGTACATAGAAGTACACATTAAATTAAAATATGCTTCTATTGTATCTAATATACTTAGAGTGTTAAAATTCCTTGTTACTGTGACTATATTCACCCACAAGATCTGTTACAGCAGTTTTTAAAATAGAAATCAAAATGATTCACATGTTTCCCACTTTTCACTCAGGAATAAACCTTTTTAAAGGCAAATGTTTCCATAGCCGAGACTATAAAGAACCAGGAATATTCAAGGGGAAGCGAGTCCTGGTGATTGGCCTGGGGAATTCGGGCTGTGATATTGCCACAGAACTCAGCCACATAGCTGGAAAGGTATGCCTCCCAGAGAACTATCTTTAAAAGGATAGAAACACTTACCATCTGAAAGGGGTGATATGAAACAGGGGGAGGAGCAGGGTACTTGATGCAAAGTCAAAGTAGTATTTCATGTAGCTCAACTTCCCTTGGTAACGGGTGAGATTTTTAAAGAGCTTGATCTGGCAAAGGCAGAACATCAGCAAGGAGTAATGTCGTCATTCAACAGTCTTTTTCTTTGGGACATTTGGAGTCTAACATGTGTCCAATAAATTCCTCCAAAATTAGTGTGGATATACGGTTACTGTGGATATAGGGTTAAGGTTATGACTCTGACACTCTTGGGTAAATCCTTGAGTCTCTCTGAATATCAGTTTTCTCACTGATAAAGTAAATAAAATAGAACCTACTTTTTGTTCTTGGTAAGGAGTTAAAGCATTTGAACATTGACTTCAGCAATATAGGGTCCTACATTCATTCATTCATGCATACAGTCATCCCATGGTTATTTGTTAAGAGCCTACTATGTGCCAGGCACTACCTTGAGTGCTGGAGAAAGAGTGAACAAAACAGGCATAATGCCTGTTTTGGAACTCAGAGTCCAGTGTAGAAAACAGATATTAGATGAGCAAATGCACAAGTGTCTAATTTTTCACTGGGAAAGGTGCTAGTAAAGGGAAAAAGAGCACGCTGTGGGAAGGGATAACAGTGGCACCTATGAAGACTGGAAAGTGGGAAGGCCCTTTTGAGCTGATGACATTTAAGCTGAGGGCTGAAGTTGAAAAAGAGGTTCAGTGGCAGACGAGGACCCCAGGAAGATGGTCTTGAAACAGAAAGAAGCTTAGAGTGAAGACACTGAGAGAAAGCCCCTTCGCTGCAACTCAGTAGGTCTGGAAAAGAATAGTGTGATGAGAGGTTGGGAAAAAGATGGAGAAGAGGTGATACCACAGCCTTCAGAGCATGTTAAGGAATTTGAACAAATGTCACCTACTAGCTTTGGAAGATCCTTGAGAGATTGACTGCTCAGAAGCCCAAAGACAGAAATCCTATCTCCAGATGTCTTGCCCACCAATTTCACACTGGGCATCCCCAATATAGGTCCATTTTACATCATGATATTATAATCAATGAGATCATGATAGGACAAGTGGCATAAAAATATATTTCTATTTATCAGTTCAAAGCACCATACTAGACAACATGGAGTTAACTAAATGGCCCCTCTTCTCCAGGAATTTTAAACCTGTTTGGGAAAACAATACATTAATATGACATAAATTGAACATAACCTCAAGAGCTAAGTAGAAAGCACAACAACAGTATAAGAGCCGCCACTGGAATAAAGGATAAATGAGTGATTCAGGATCTAAAGGCTATGATCATTACAGGACCGAAGGGCCCAACGTGGGGGGAGGCCTGAACAGTCTAGAAGGATGTATGTACATCGTATGGTTGGAGAGGTGGCCAAAGGTGTTCTTGGAAGGGAAAATAATATGAGAAAAGGTGCATGAGAGACAGGAGTGAGCACTGAGTACTTGACTGCTGTGGCTTCATCTTGCTAAAGTGGAGGTTCTTAATAACAACCTGTATAAGGCATTATGGTGCTCAAGAACCTGTAAAGCAATATGTGCTCTGGTTGGGGGAGAAGATAGTCTGAATGGTATTATATGTACTTTACAGAAAAGGTAACTGAGGACAAGAAGTTTCAGTTGTCTTCTTGAAAGTCATCAGAGGAAAGCAATGTTGAGCCACAGAAGTGTTTGAGGATCAAATGCCAGATCTGATTCCAAGGAACAGGGCAGGGACAGGAATTGAGACAGGAAAGAAAGATCGAAGTCAGGTTATGTCATACGCTTTATTTAAGGAATCGAATGACAGGTTAACAAATTTGGATTTCTCCATAAATAATGATAAATTATTTCCCCCTCTTCAGCTAAGGAAAGATATGATGAAACTATAGATTTCAGGGTTTCATTCATTAGCTGTACAAATGATAAATTAGAGAGAAGAAAGACCAATTTCAGAGGCTCTCAATTCAGTGATGCCTCAGTCTCTTCTTATTTGCTTAGCTTACCTTATAAGAAATACCTTGAAATAGCATTATACATAAAAATTCTGGAAAATAAAAGTCCTGAAAAACTACACTGTTAGGGATTAACAGGACAGCAGAGGGGGAAAAAAAGTACATATTCCGTGCGAGGCACTATTAGTCATACTGCGCAGATTTGATGTGGCGGGCATGAATTTCCATTTTATGAATAAGGAAACTGAGTATTAGAGAAGTTAAATGAATTTGCCCCAAATCGTATTATTAATAAGTAGCAGAGTTTTTCTGATTCCAGATCTCTTGCCTTCTTTGGGGTGGTGGGAGGCATTCTAGGTCAGAACGCCTCTGTGGAGATCACAATTGCTTGTTCGTAGACAACGATTATCAGATGACCACTGGCAGAAATATGACTAGAATTCAGGTTAGAGGAGATTTGATTAAAACATGAAAATTTCCCTGGAACAACCTGACAGGGTGTTGATCCTAAGATGTAGATCGTTGGGGTGTGTTCTCCCCTCTGAGGGAAGGGAAGGGAAGGAAGTTTCCCTTCACTTACTCTGAAGCTAGGATAGTCCTTTCAAATTGTCCCAAGTAGAAATGAGAGGCTGGGCCTTTATATCCCTGCATTATCCACCACTGAATGCAGGGAATCAGAAAGTGTATAAGATGTTGGGTGAGGCCCCCTCTTCAAACAATGCAACTCCCAAAGATGGCTGACAGCTGAGGGCTGCCCTCTGGCCACACCCCCAGCAGCCAGTATAACAACTCCATTCTTAAGGCAGAATTGGAGGGCATGTCACAACAACCACTGTGAATGGTCACCACTCTAATGGTTGAATCGGTGTTTCTTAAGGTCATCATCAGCTCCAGAAGTGGCTCCTGGGTGATGAGCCGGGTCTGGGATGATGGCTATCCATGGGACATGATGTCAGTCACTCGATTTGAAATCTTCCTCAAGAATGCCTTACCAAAAGCCATCTCTGACTGGTGGTACATGAAGCAAATGAACGCAAGATTCAAGCACGAGAACTATGGCTTGATGCCTTTACATGGGTAAGGCACAATTAAATATAATATGCCTGCTAACTTTTATTTCAGTGTCAACAACCCTAATGTGTGTTGTAACCCCCATGTAAGTCAAAGTGAAGTAATCACATCTCACATTTCAGAGGATAAAGAATTGCAAAAATGGGGAGTGTTTGCCTATTTCATAATCCTCCTTACCAGATTTGCACAGCTGGAAAGTTATGTAATACCCCGGGAGTCCCAGAGTGACAATAATAAAATCAGTTAGTGTGTTTTAGGCACTTAATGTCAGAGGCTTGCTAAGCCCTAACATGCATTATCTCATTTTATACTCACGACGACTATGGGGATGACTCTATTGTAATCTTCATTTTAGAGATGAGAAAACTGAGGCTCGATGTGGTTAACAACTTTATCAAAGTCACACAGAGAAGTTAGAAAGCAGTATTCAAAACAAGTTCAGGTCTGCTGACTCCAGCACCCCCACTCTTAACCACTTTGCTCTGCTGCCTCTTTCTTTGGTGGCAACGTTAAGTAAAGCAAAGCATGACTTGCCCTGTGCTACCCTCTCATCACCTGCCCCTTAATGCAGCCCTCCCACTGAACCATGGCCACAATACTGGCATCTTCAGTCTCCTCACTGTCTCCTATAACATCCCCAAGCTCGTCACACGATGGGAAATTACTTACGACATGGGGTAAAAAACCCAAGTTACATCAAAGTTAACTCATTCACTCAACAAATATTTATTAAGCGTGTATTATGTGCCCGGTCCTGTGTTAAACCCTGTGGATACAGCACTGAACAGAGAACATAAAATCCCTGTCTTTGCGGAGCTTAGACTCTAGTAGTGGGAAACAGACAGTAAACAATAGCAGAAAACCATGCGGTGATATGTACCAAGGAGAAAAAAACAAAGCAGGCCAGGATAGCAGGAAGCGCCATCAGGAAAATTTTAAATAGAGTCCTTGAGGAAGGTCTCACTGGGAAGACTTTTCAGCAAATTCCCAAAGGAGGTGAGAAAATGAGCCATGAGGACATCTGGGGAAGAAGTATCCCAGACAGCAGGACCAGCAAGGACAGCACCTCTTCAGGGGTGTGACCAGTTTGTTCAGCAAAGTACAGTGAGCGTCCCTTCCTGGAGAGGAGGGTTGGGGAGAATAGAAGGAAATGACACCAGAGACATTAAAAGAGACAGCTGGTGTTGGGTCTTCTGGCTTTTGCCCTGAACCCAGTGGGAAGCCATAGCAGGCATCCGAACAAACTAGGGACAAGAACTAAGTTAGACTGAAGAGGCCACTTAGGCCGCTGTGGTCATCATTTGGTATAGGGGGTAGGTCAAGGAAGGAAGTGGAAAGACTAGCTAAGAGGATACTGTCAAAAACCCAGATGACAGGAGACGATGGCTTGAACTAGGGTCGTCAGCAGCAAGTGCTCAAGTGTGGTCAGATTTTGGATATAGTTTGAAGGTAAACTCAAACAGAATTTTTCGTTAGATTGAATGAAAGATGTGCGAGCAATGAAGGGATCAAGAATGTCTTCAAGACTTTCAATCTGAGCAAGGGGACAAGGATGAAGGTGGCATCTACTGAGATGTGGAAGACCATGAGAGAAGCGGAAGTTTAAACACATCAAAGTTGATATGCCTATGAGACATTTGCATAGAAGAATGCTGAGGAGTCGTGGGATACACGAGACAGAAGAGATTCAGACCCTAAGGTCAAAATGTGGACTGGTCAGAATATAGACAGTACTTAGAGGCAGTGCCACGGTACAAGGCAGCTTGAAGATCCTGCTGGCCTTGACAAAAGAAGTTTCAATTGATAGTGGGTCTAAAAGAAATGGCAGGTAATTCGAGCAGTTGAATCGAGCATTTTTCCAAACAGAATTCCAACTAATCTCATCACCCAGCTCAGTTTCCTCCCCAGTGGAGTCTCCCATGGCTCTGTCTCTCACAGCTCCCACCATCCTACAAGAACAAAGTCTTTTCCTTCAACATTGTTCACGTTCACCCCTAAGCTCAGATTGATCTGCACTCACTAGAAATATTGCTGAATAAAAAAATAATCAAAAGCTCTCTCTAGTGACCAAAGATTCAAACTAGCCTCTTCCCTCTCCTGATCTTATTTAAATTCCTGGACTCTCCTTCCCTCACCTGACTTATGCCTTTGTCTACGTGGGGCTCACACTTCCCCCTCTAGGAGAGAACCCAACTGCAGACTTCCCATCTTTGGCTCCCTTCTTCCTATTTGACATTCTTTACATCACAACGACCACTTTGGAGTATACTGTATTAAGAACAATGGCTAACATTTTGAGCACTCCCTGTGTGCTACAAACTATGCCAAAGTCTTTATATCACTTAGGTCTCCCAATGACCTGAGCTAGGTATAACTGTTATTGCCACTCCAGATGAGAAAGATGGGGCAAGAAAAGTTAAGAAACTTTAATTGGATCAAGGTTCACAGTTGATAAGTAGCAAAGAAAAAAATTCAAAGACCCAGGTACTCTGGTTTCAGGATTTTTTCCTGATATAGGCTTTAACAGGCAAGAGGGCCAGGGTTCTTATTCTGGGATTTGGAGAGAGCTCTGTGGAAGAGAAAGATCATGGGAACCAGAGAAAGCAAAAAGCTACTTCTCTTCCTCCACAGTGTTGCCTTACATCAGTTTTGCTCTTGGACTGTATTAGTGACAATCCATGGCACCCACAAAAAGAAAAATCTTCGGTAGTTTTCTCCTTCCATACTAATTAACAATTAATAATTATTAATTAATTATCACAGGCCAACAAAACAAAAAGGAATATTACCATTCTAACGGTTGTCTCTGTTTTCCACACAGCACCCTGAGGAAAGAGCCTGTGTTCAATGACGAACTCCCAGCTCGCATCCTCTGTGGCACCGTGTCCGTTAAGCCTAATGTGAAGGAGTTCACAGAGACGTCAGCCATTTTTGAGGATGGAACCATGTTTGAGGCCATTGACTGTGTCATCTTTGCCACAGGCTACACTTACGCCTACCCCTTCCTTGATGACTCCATCATCAAAAGCAGAGATAATGAGGTCACCTTATTTAAAGGTGTCTTCCCGCCTCCACTGGAGAAGCCAACCCTGGCTGTGATTGGCCTTGTCCAGTCCCTTGGGGCTGCCATCCCCACAGCTGACATGCAGGCCCGCTGGGCAGTACAAGTACTAAAAGGTAAGTAGACAAAGAGGCTCATTGATGGGGAAGATGGATGCCGATGAAAACAATAAGTCCTAATCACAAGGGACAAATCCTAGGTCCCATTCAGTTTCAAAAACCTATAATTCTATATTTTTGGTACTATATATGTAATTAAAATATATCACATTAGATTATCATATGCAATAGTGTAAGATATTATTCAAGGAGGTTTTTTTTTGATGACCCCTTAGAAGTATTATTTACCCAAGAACTTTCATTGAATTTGAGAACATCAGAGCTTCTCATTTTAAGTGCAAGATAACTTTATAAAATTATGATTTCAAAAACTCAGTAGAATGATACTGCTTGAGAGATCAATAAAATAAGATGTTTCCAAGCCAATATCCAGACAACTTTAAATATCCACAGTTACAAAAAAAATTATGATTGCTGGAGAGGAAGTGGCTTTTCTGCTCTCTTTTCTACCCTGCCATGTGTCAGATAAGGACTGGTAGTAGATCATTAGAAACAGAAAGTACTTGATGTGATACACAGTCAGTCTCTAAGGTAGAGGAATACTAAGTCCCTGTATTTTAAAAAGGAAAAGGAAACAAACTTGACTGAGGTCTGGCAAAGAAGGAAGCAAGCATCATCCAGCCCCAGGTACTGGGATCAGATTCACACTAAGGTTGAATGCAGTTGTGCTCAGATTCAGATCATAAGACCAAACAGGGCCATGGTTAAAGAACAAATAGAGATGTCAGAGTTTAATGTGCGAAGTTTTGCTGGTCTTGGAGGTATGAGCTTCTGGATAAGGAATCTTAGCAGGCCTGTTTCCTTTGAAGCCACATTGAAGGCTTCCAGTCTACCTGACTTGCTGGGATTTAAATGTCCTTTTATACTGTGTCATTTTTCACCACCAGGCTGCACATCACTACAGTCCTGTATATCAGTGATCTCTCTAAATCTCCTTCACTCCCCAGCCCCTAAGCAGAGATGTGTTGCAGGGTAATGTTGCTCCTGTGAGGTAGCAGCCACGAAGATGATGGCATGAAATTCCACTTAGAAAGAACTGCGCTTAGGATTCAGGTTCAGAAAGACTGGTATTAAAAGGCAAACACTTACTCTCTGTGAAGACAGGAGTTGTAACCTGGGCTCTGAAGAAAGGAGACAAAGCAGAGACCCAGTCAACAGAGGATCGATGTACAAGGTGAAGACTCAGTCTCAAGGGAAATGGGAGACAAGGCAATCAATCCAATTTGGGGGATCCAGGGCACCAGGACACAGGGGCCAATTACAAGTAGCCCAATGGCAGTAGCTGGCGGGCTACTGAGTACAGCCTCTTCTCCATCTCTCCTCTTGCTCAAGGACAGAACGGGTTCTGAGGTTTGGAACAAAGCTGTCTCTACAAAGGCTGTTCACATGGTCCTGCCTATAAGGACTGCAGAACAGCGAGTTATGCAAGTCATTGTAGATCTCGAGCAATTAGATCTAGGCTGGGAATTCTAGCCTTGTTCCAAGTGATCCCAAAATTGCCAAAGAAACAAACTAAATTTGATGTATCTCTGGGTATAAAGGTTTGGGTCTGGGTTTTAGAGAATTCTATAAACCTATGTCAGGATGAGCCTGAAATCCTGGGGCAGCCCCAACTCAGATCTGGTATATCCTTGGTGGCTTGTGGACAGTCCATATCCTCAGTCTTATCTAAGAACTATCGGCTTTTCAGAAGAAAATTGGGACTTCACTAAATTCTGTATCTTTTCTGTTGGAAATCCATTTTTCTGGCAAAGCAAGATAATTTCCTATGAAGTTTTTTTTTCATAAATCTTAAAGAGGTACTGATTTACCTTTGGCTATAATTTATTAGATAACATTCTTAAAAATAAAGCTGAGAGATTAGAGTATAATCCTTGAAATTTATTTTTTTAAATCTGGTAAGTAGTTTAAGAGCAAAGATACAAAGATATAAGGTTATTTGGGTATGGGCTTCTAATTATTGTGACAAATATCAGCGCTTAGAAGACTGAGAATGACCTGTATGTTTGTCCCAAAATGACCACTGCTCATTTGCTCAAGATTTTATTTTGCTAGACAATGACAAAAAAAAATTGGAAATACTAATGTGATTCATAACTCATTATTAAAAAGGAAACATTTCAGGCTGATCCTATGCCAGACTCATTTTAACTACTATCATGTCTTTCTCTTTTTTTTAGGAACTTGCACTTTGCCTTCTGTCAAGGACATGATGAATGATATTGATGAAAAAATGGGGAAAAAGCTCAAATGGTAAGAGCATCTATTATAAATGGGACTAGAGTTTTCATAGAAAAAAATCAGAATTTTGAACACTTGGAACCGATTTAGTCTTAAATGGTCCTGTGTGAGATCATTAGGGTGACAGCTATGAGCTAAATTCATTCATTCAACAGATATTTATCAAGGATCTAGTTTGCACCTGATACTAAGTCCTGTTTTAGCCCTCCATGGCTCCTGCAATACAGCATGGAAAGGAGACCCAGAAAGATTAGCAATCAGAGGCATTTGGGAACACATGGATGTAGGCTCCCATTTTTCAAGCCCATAAATCCCTTAAGTTGTAAAGGATGGCTTCTAGCCGATGGCTCTGATGAAAATGACTCAGCTAAGTGAGAAACAGAAGAACTGGGCTCCAATCCTACCTCTGCCACTAATTAGCTCAGTGGCCATAAATTCATAACTTTCCTTGAGCAAGAGACAATTTATCTACGTGTAAATCAGCCTTTCCCAGCTGCCCTGCGATGCTGTGGAATGTCCAAATGAGATCAGTTCAAGAAGGTCTTCAGTAAAAACTACCCAGTGCAGGATAAGGAGCAATTGCCTGCTTCCAACACCAGGGACCAATGCGGATTCCTGCTGACAAAAGTGCGTGGGGCGTTTCCCCCATTCTTGTTTCTGCCCAGAGCTTGGATAGCCACAGCCTTGTTTCCTCTCTCACCTCTAGGTTTGGCAAAAGTGACACCATACTGACGGATTACATTGCTTACGTGGATGAGCTTGCCTCCTTCATCGGGGCAAAACCCAACATCCTGTGGCTGTTTCTCACAGATCCCAAGCTGGCCTTGGAGGTGTACTTTGGCCCTTGCAGCCCGTACCAGTTTAGGCTGGTGGGCCCAGGGAAGTGGCCAGGAGCCAGACACGCCATCCTGACCCAGTGGGATCGGTCACTGAAACCCATGAGGACAAGAGCTGTTGGGAATCCAGTGAAGCCTTGCTTATTTCACAGCTGGTTCAGGCCTGTTGCTATTTCTGTTGTGTCAGTTGCTATTTTCCTTCTGTTGATCTAAGCATCATTCCCTCTAAGAGTCTGGATGTCACCGACTGCTCCTGGGAAGAAACTTTAACAGTTAAGGATTTCACACCTCCCACTTCCCTATTCAGCAGGCATTAGTCAGTAAAACAGTCCTACTTCTAGACTTTAAAATAAGCCCCTTTAAGAATCATGTCAAGATCTGACGAGAACATGAATCATTTATTTCCCTTTTAGGATCGACTAACTTTTCATAATTCCAAAATACTTCCATAATATTTCATAAATAGATATATGCTCTTGATCTCTAACCTAAATCAGCTCCTGAAACATTTGACATGATTCCTTTCCTCCGTGAAACAATGTTTAAAATATGTATTTCAAACCTAAACAAAGAGCAAATAAAGCAGAAGAGCTAAGATATTGGTAGCCTCAGCCTGCTTCTACAAACCGTTTGCAGGTTCAAGGGGAGAATTTGGCTATTATATTCCATTTTCGTTTTCTGCTGCATCCTCTAGGCAATACCTCCCGTTCCCTGGCCAAGAAACAGTGTGGAGACCCCATCTATCATGAAAGTTAGCAAGAAGTAACTCATTGTATTTATATTCTCAATAAGGAAACAAACTTTCCAATGTGTAGCAGCAAAATAACATCAACAAAAACCATAATGAATAGAGCACCAAATATATCTTTTAGCTGAATGGAAAATCTTTTAAAAAATTGAATATTTAGCCAAAATTGTTACCAAAGTCTAATGCTACCCTTATAAAACCTGATCATGTATATCATATAGAATAATACATGCTTATAGATTGGTGTGCCAGAGTAGATCTAAATTTTTGGTTTTTAAGTATTACTACACGATATAATTAAATTTTTAATCATTAAAATTTTTTAAGTTTGAGGGGGATGGTATAGCTCAGTGGTAGAGTGTGTGCTTAGCATGCATTAGGTCCTGGGTTCAATTCCCACTATCTCCAATAAAATAAATAAATAAACCTAATTACCTCCCCTCAAACATAAATTAATTAAGTAAAAACAAATAGAAAATTTAAAAAAAATTTTAAGTTTGACATTATGGAGCAGATAAAATAATCTGTCCGTATTATCACTCATCAGAGGGCCCTGTATGTTGTTAAAATCCATATTTCTTACTATAGCTTCACTTCTAATCGAAGCCAATAGAGCAACAAGAAGAGGAGACCATATTTTTTTCTAGTTCTTTCTTCTGTTTTCTTTTTTAATTCTCTTAATATTTTTATCTTTGGGTACCAGATTTACCATGGGTATTGTTGCCCACAACTTTAAATCATTCCCTTTTCCTAACTGTTTAAGTTAGCAAAATAACATTCTGCTTTCAAGGTCTTCTCACAAGAGGTGAAATATTCCCAAATATTCCCAAGTGAGACAGAACTTTTCCTGAAACATTGTAGCCTAAATGGACTCAAGTAAACAAAAATTAAATACACACATAAAATTTATTTGTTTAGTGTTATAAATGCTAGTATGCAAAATAAATTTAAGATTAACATTGATGTGACATAACTTCTGTTATCCTTCCTCATGTTATTTAACTTTTGGTAAAAGTTCATTGGCTTATGAAGGATATAATAGTCTTCCTAAACTGATGTAGACAACACACTCTCTTAATAGTTCTACTAACATCATCTATTTTCATACTAAACTGAACTATTACCAATGTCTTAACTACTTTTGTATATAACATTTCTGCATATTTTACTCTGATGAAACCAGATATATGTGTATATATAAGTACCTATTCCAACCAACTTGAAAAATTTGAATATATGAAGCACAGAAGATTTTTTCACTCTCAGTTTCATCTAGAAATTCTTACCAGTTCTTTAAAGTACATAGTCAGATATTAGAAATAAAACCAAATGGAATTTTTTTGTACAGCTGACACAGCTCTGCTGACTAGGTATGAAGATGATTTGCAGGTTCATGGGATTATTGGCCACACCCAGTTGCTGGGATGGTACCTTGAGGTGGGCTTTGGCAATTCAGCCATTCAGAGGTTTCAAAGTTTCTGAAGCCAAGTAGTAGTTTTTGGCCAAATACTGAGACCAAAGACATTCTTCAGTGTATTTACCTACCAGTCTTCTTCACTTCCTCTTTTCCTTCCTTTCTTCTTCCTCTTTATCTGCTTCTTCTTCTCTGTTATTATTCTTACTTCTTTTTTCTTTTCCTAACTTCTTTGTCTTCCTTCTTCCCCTTCCTTCTTTCTTTCCCCTTTTCTTTCAGAAGAAATGATTGGAAGCAGGTGTATTCACTTTGAAGGACTCTTGGATCTTCTGCGATGGTGTCCCAGATGCTAACTCCAAACAGTCTTCCAAGAAGTGAGCACGTTCTGCTAGACACAACCATGCTAGAGTCCATCATGAAAATTCTCAGTTAGAAATGGTCCCTGCCTGCAGTCAGGTACAGTCTGGTATGTAACAGAAAACTGAAAAAGGGAAAATCTAACTCTGCTTTAAGCAAGCAAAAACACCTTTTATGGAGATCCAGCCTCTGTGCTCTCAGTTGCCCAAGATTTTCAGAAATTTCTAGCATCTGCTATAATTTGAGTTTAATTAAAGTATTAAAGCTTAATTAATGCTCAGAATAATCCTTTGACTTGAGTCTTATCACCAGGGCTTCTCAGCAGTCGAGAAGCTTGATTTTTTTTTTCCTGTCAGAACATTTTTAAAATAAAAAAAAAGTCCAAAAAATTATAATTTGTTTAAAAAGTTTATATAGGTAAACTAAAACTTTCAAACAAAAGAATATGATGCAATATTACATATAAGCTCGCTGTACCCTAAGATAAAGCTGCAAGTTCAGTGTTTTAAGATAGGTAACTTCTTTCAGGTCTATCACTGTGAATCTCATTGGAGACAACATCAAAATATAAATGTGAGGCCCTTTATGAAGATGAGTCCTGGGCCACGGGGTCTCCCTGATGGCCCTTTTGATCAAGGCGTTAGAAGTCAGCGGTCCCCAGCAGGATTCAATGCAATGCCCCCTTTTGATAGTAAGTATTTTGTAACACTCTATTTTACAGAACTGAAGTGAAATTTATATATAGCCTACCTACACACATAAAAATATACATCTTAATTAGTGTAGCCCCAATTGTCCTATACAATAGGACCTCTTCAGGTCTCTCACCTACAAATACATATCCAGTGGGTTTCAAAAGTTGTTTGAAATACTGGACAAATCATTGTGCAGGATTGTACAGGGTCTCTCATGTCTCGTACTCTCCAATCATGCAACAACAATAACAACAAAAAAACTGCCCCTGCAAATTCCAAAAATGTTCTAAGTGGAGCAAAGTCACCCCTAATAAGAATCATTATAGAATGCTTGAAAAATATGAGTCTCAGAGATCATAATCCAAGATTACACACTCTTCCAGAAAGGGCACAGTTCAAACGCAAGGCCACATCTCATGATGTGTAATGCAGTACATTTTTTCAGAATGCCACAACTCCCTCCTAATTTGGAATGGATTTTCAAGGTGACATTTGACCTTTCTGTGTCTGTCCAAGGTCTGCTGATCTTTAGAGACACAGAAATCATGCAGCACATAGTTCCTTTCAATACAAATATACAAATCATAGTCCAGCTTACTGACACTGATAAATGATACTAGTTCCATGTAACCAGCCCTTTGTGTCGACATCCAAAAGTGATGGGGAATGGATGAGAGGCTCTTAATTCCTTTATCTGAATCATTTACTATAACAATTTTCTAGGTTTATGCATACCACTGCCTACTTGATATCTTTTCTTTCATGTAGATAGGCATCTCAAACATAAAACTACTAAATTTCACTTTTCATTTTCCCTGCCACCTGTTGGTGTCGCGATGTCATGTACATATACACACCGTATGCAGAGAGAGCTGATGGCTACTCTAAAGCTTTATTAAGTTACATAGTCTTATATAGCAAAGAAGAATGATAAGGGAAATGGTTAACAGGCAGCGTCTGGCTCAAGGTCAGAATACTCTTTATGTTTTGGTAAATCATGTTCATGTTGGTACCAGCGAGCCTTACAGCTTATCAGGGCAGAACATATGAGAAACAGCTGCTTAACAATATTCTTCTTGGACTCAGGTGGCTGTGCCTGTCTGTCGGGGCCA